TTTAATGCAGTAATGTTATAGCTTATAGCTTTAAGTGATACACGTCGGCAACTTCCATCCCAATAAAATCAAGCAGCTTGATTTTGACCCATGGAGGACTTCATCTCTGTCATCATTTTGGTTTTGTATCAGGTTGTTTGGAGAAGTTTAGAGATATATTCCAGAATGGTACTAAAAGAAAAGAAAAGAAAAAACAGATCTTGCAAAGCAAATGCATCTTAATTGCTCTCACATTGTTGTTGACGTGTTGAGTAGAAGGCATAAAAGGAATACTGTAGAGAAAAGATTAATGTGTCACTAGCTGTTTGTTTTGAAATGGTGTATGTGAGGGCGGCCTCTGCAGCACACATGCAACCTGCTGGGAGAGTAAAAGGCTTGGCGAGCTGATGACAGAAATGGTTATTGCATAAATGGAGATTTTTTGGAAGCAGCCCCTGCCACATCATACACTGCAATTCAGCAAAGATAAAATCACGCAAATAATGCTTCTTTCAGTTGGTCCGGCGTTTTTTTGCCATTCTCCCAACGAATCCGTCGCCGTAATTGCAGTGTTTTGAGAAAATTGTCTCGCATGTTTTCAACAGCTTTTATTTTACCACAGACAGCCATGGCAATCTGAGAGAGGGGAAAAAACAAAGAGGAAAGCCACGTAATTGGGTTGAGATTGCACTGACAGCCTATTGTTAAACGTGCTAAATGAAAGTTTGATGCTGCCCACTGTGGCATTTTTTTCAAATGTCCATCACAATGTTTTCCCCTCGCTGCAGAGCTGGAGCTGCTTTCAAAGCTTTTATCAGCCCTCAGTGAGGCCAACGGTGGATCTAAAAAAGGAAAGTGTGATATGGAAATGAATTTGTCCCAGATTCCACATGGATATTTTTAGAAGTGCACCTTGGTACATCTCAGCAGTGGTTGGTATTAATGAAAATAGATAAGGAATAAATAAATATAACCCTCATAGCCAAAATCCATACTTTGAAGCTGTCTTTTGATTCAGTGGTTTGGTTCCTGTTTGGACTGTTTTTTAAGACTATGGATGCAGCAGTGTCAGCTCTGCCTGTTCCCAACTCCTCTCATCTACTGCTTGAATGGATTCATTAGCCTTTACACATAGTCACATTAGTCATCGTTTATTAATCTATGGCCCTGCACCAGCAGCCTCTTTCCCTCTTTTGTACATTATCCCAGTCATTACAGAAATAGGATCACTTGAGCACAGTCCCTCCCCTCAGATGAAGGTATGAGGCACTCGCTGCAAGCTTTTAGTCGTTAATTGGTTATATCTTGGTTATGACCGAGACCTTAAATAACCCCTGTTGGGCCCTGTGATCAGAGGGGGGCTGTGTAGGTGCTAATAAGGGCTGTCCTCAGAGGAAAACCTCTGCTGTGCTTAGAGTGGCACACCTACAGGGTCAAAGCACGACTCCAGACTATGACCATTTAGTCGCATTTTACAACTTTTTATGGAGATTTAGCAAAGAATACGTATAGAGTGCCTAGAAAATATTCCTGCATTTTTATATATAACTTCTAATTCTCAATTACACATGAATGTGATGGCACTTTGCCCAGAAGGTGTGACATAAACAATTGTCTGCACAAAATAATGTTTTCTCTTGAAAAAATAATTATAATAATATTAATATGGTGGGTTAATTCATGTGTAGAATTATGGAGAATCTAATATTTTAATGATGCACCAATTGGGAAATTCTGGGCCAATACTGACCGATGCCAATGCTGATGTTTTTTTGTTGTTATTTATTCGCCCTTTTGTGCCAGGGAAACCAAATTCTACAAAAGCATGTCTGCCTTGTTGATATATTAAATACCGAAATCACAATAACACAATAACACATTCATATTATTAATGTGCTGCTGACCAGTGAGTTTGCTTATACACGCATATTTAACATATTTGCTGTGACTTCAAAGTGTCATGACTGTAAATCAGAGTCACTTCCAGCCCATTTAATTTGAGTTTATTCTGAGCTGGTGTTCTTGGTAAATTCTATTGATGGAAACCTGGCTCCAAAAAGTTTAAACTGGCCTTGTATTGTTATTAATGCATATGGCTTCTCACATTTAATGCTTTATGAAGAGTATCTACTATATAGTGGTGTATTCTGCTTCAACTTACTCATTGATAATAATAAATAAATGTTACTTTTCAAAATCATAGACATATGACCAATATTCTGATGTCTGGAAAAAAATTCATGAAAATAAAGTAAAGTAAATATTCTGCCTCAAAAATCATTATTACGCTACAGTATGAAAGCAAAATATTTAGAGAGCTTGACCCTGTGTGAAGAACAGATCCTGTTTGTGGGATATAGTTTTTTTCCTTTCTGTAAACAAAGATATTTTGGTGGGAGAAGCAGCTTGCCATCCTGTTTCTAATTTTGTCTGACATTGTGACAACACAGCTTGGTTGATCTGCTCGCAAATGTCTTCCTTTTGCTTTCTGTCCGGCAGCTGGAGGAGCAGCTGAGTCGTCTGCAGAGAGAGAAGAATGACCTGCAGTCCAGGATGGAGGAGGACCAGGAGGACCTCAACGAGCTGATGAAAAAACACAAGGCTGCTGTGGCCCAGGTCTCTGTTTCACACACACTGTACACATATTGTATATGGAGTCTTGAGTGTGCCCAAATAGATACATTACGTTTGCATAATTATATAACTCTTCCTTTTCCTTATGCAGCTTTATTCTGTAACATATTCATTCATTGTGTGATTTTAAGATGAAATTATAGAAATTATTCATTTGTTAAATCCTTTTAAAGCTTTTAAATGTAACTTTTTATTTTACTTTCTAATGTGTCAGCCTCTTTTATTCCATCAACTAATTTGTTTCCTACTTTGATATACTGTGATCGCTTTAATATATAGACCTAAAAATTAAAGGTTCAGTGTGTGGGATTTAGTGCCATCTAGCGCTTTAATTGCAGATCAAAACTCACACACGTCACCCTCCCCTTCCAAGAGCGAAGGGAAACACTGCAGTGGCTACAATTTTGTGCAAAAGTGGCGAAAAAAAGTGTTTGGATTGTCCCTTCTAGGCTACTGTAGAAACATGGCATTTAAACATGGATGACAATCTTTAGATAAAAATGGCTCATTCTGAGGTAGCAAAAACACAATTTTTATTTTCAGGTGATACACAAATGAAAACATAGTTATGAATATTATTATGTCTTTTTTTTCTTCCAGGCTGTCCTGTACAAGACAATACCAATATTATATATATGTATATATGTATATATATATATATTTTTTTTATTATTATTATTATTATTATTATTATTTTTTT